TAGATATTTTTCATATTTCTAGTTTCAATTCAACATTTTAATCGATCTTTTTGTGTTCTTTCATGGTAAGAAATGTAAAATTTTCATCTCACAAAATGTGTTGGATCAACAGAGCCAAATTCAGCTTAACAGCTTGACCATAGATAAATAAATAAACATAGATAGCTTATGTACGCAAAATCACCAAGAATTGTACAGTCCGCGAACTCATACTTCTAGGGGTCAAAGTGCACTTCAATGATAAGCGGGGTGGTTTGGTGTTTTAATGGATTTCATAAAAGAGTGTAAAATAACTCCGGGAATGGAACTATTTGAACAATAATATTACACTGAGCAATATATCATATTGACGAGTAATGAAGAAGGACATGAGAAAAACTAAACTAACTTAAATTTCTCTCTACAGAACTCATGTACACCACAAGTACTCAATGACATAAGAACAGCCAATGTTCACAACCGACCTAGTTAATCTATATAATAGGAATATCTTTAAAACATCTCTGTACATTTATATCTTTCAAGATGAAAAATATCGTCTTATGCGCAATCTATCTTTATCTATGAGCTTGACTCTTAAATGTTGACGAATGATGCTTTTAAGTTAAATATGGCTCTGGTGCTTAAATTTTTTTTATGTCGGAGACCTTTGATATTTTAAAATATATATTATGTGAGAACAAATAGTCTAAGTTTGAAATATGAAAAGTTTATACTATTATGTTGCAAAGATATAGAGATTAGAAAATATGAGTTTGTGGCAAAAACTCAGTTCCCTTCTTACAACTTTAAACTCATTTTCTTTTCTGTTGAATGTACAAAAAACAAACAAAAACTATTTTGAATTGAATATTAGAAATATCTAAAAACTATTTTGAATTGAATATTAGAAATATCTAAAAACTATTTTGAATTGAATATTAGAAAACTCTGTGCTAACCAAAGAAAAACCTAATTTTACACTGAATTGTTTTCAGGGTTGTGTAAGTGTTCATGGCTTTTAGAGATCTCTCTTTACTAGATCAAACTCTTTAAAAAAAATGTAGTTTTAATGTTAGCTTCGTTCTTTTTTAATGTAAATTTTTATTTATCTTTTTTATTTTTCAACTAGAGAAAATTAATTTTTTTGAAATGGTAAAACGTTACCATTTAAACCTTTATCTGATATAATAATGTGAATAAATATAAAATAAATCAATGTTGATTTAACACATCATTTTAAACCTTTATTTGATATAATAATGTGAATAAATATTAAAAAAATCAATGTTGATGGAACACATCATTTTAAACCTTTATCTGATATAATAATGTGAATAAATATAAAAAAATCAATGTTGATGGAACACATCATTTTTCAATTAGAGGTTCACTTGAAATTAAGCCTACAGCCATTTTAACGTGCGTCGAAATCTCCTCTTTAATCCCCAACTGTTTCTTAAATCTGGAGAAATGTATATTTGTTAATAATGGTTAATCCAGAAACCAAGTAAAGAATCTTTATCCACCTTGTATCCCTTAATTCGGCCAAAGTCTTAAAGGTTTCATATTCAACGTTAGGGGTGTGCATTGCACGCAAGTGCTAAATACAGTTTGCAAAAATCTGATTAAAAGTGTTTTTTTTTAGATAGATAGAGGGGGGGGGGGAGACTAAACTTCTTGTATTTTTATAAGGCATTAAACAGATTTTTTATGCTTCTTGTCACAACTAAAAATTGTCTTATATCTTTGCAACCTAAAGATGTTAATCTTTGGTATTTTAAACTAACGACGTCGGGTTACTAAGATATAGGGATTAAAATCGGAGTTTGGGACTAGAGTTCAGTTCCTTTGAGTTCCCCAGGATAAAAACTAGTTTAAAGTCTAAGAATTGATTAAGATGAATTAAGTTTGAAATAAATATGGGTTCAGTTAGAATAAATGGTTTATTAACACGTTGTTAAAGAGTTAGTAAAGGTTTAATTAGGATATGTTAGTAGGGATATATGGTTTAGTTAGGATATGTTAGGCGGTTTAGGATATGTTAGGACAGATTTATGGTTTATAGTTAGGATATGTTAGGACGGATATATGGTTTAGTTAGGATATGTTAGGACGGATATATGGTTTTTAGTTACGATATATTAAGACGGATATATGGTTAAATTAGGATATATTAAGACGGATAAATGGTTTAGTTAGGATATATTAGGACGGATATATGGTTTAGTTAGGATATATTAAGACGGATATATGGTTTAGTTAGGATATGATAGGACGGATATATGGTTTCGTTAGGATATGTTAGGACCGATATATGTTTTATAGTTAGGATATGTTAGGACGGATATATGGTTTAGTTAGGATATGTTAGGACGGATATATGGTTTAGTTAGGATATGTTAGTACGGATATATGGTTTAGTTAGGTTATGTTAGTACGGATATATGGCTTAGGATATGTTAGTACGGATATATGGTTTAGTTAGGATATCTTAGGACGGATATATGGTTTAATTAGGATTTTGTTGGACGGATAAGAAGTTTAAACATGATGCTAATTGACTAAGAATGATTCAGAGTATTATGTAAGTGCTTTGCATAATAAGGATTAAGAGAATTTAAAATTTTCAGGATATAATTGGATAATTTGAGATTACATACGGTTGTTAATAGATTTCAGGAATCATCTATTTGATGATATAGGGAAGGATGATTTCAATTTAACCAGTAGGTTCAGAATGGGTTTTCAAAGAGCCTGAATGGTCGGTTTACGTTTGCTCCAGGTGAAGATTAGATTTCCTGAGTATAGATTTTCTCCAGGTCTGTGTTTCCTCTGGGCGTTGATTAGAGTTAGGTTAGATTTGCTCCGGGTTTAGTGAAGAATAGAGCAGGGTTGAGAGATGCTAACGCTCCGAAGAAGAGTAGCGTCGCGTCCTATCAGACCATTTTTACTCAAACCTGCATAATGGACAACCAGGGTTAGATATATTTTCTCTTCTTAACCCCCAGACTTACCTCATCTCAAAGATGCAATATGAATAGAATTCTGTATTTTGTTTGAATTATTTCGTGATAATTATTTATCCCTACATAGGCGGTGGACTTTCTTAGGCTTCGTTAAAAACTTCAAGGTATTGAACTGTAACAGGTATTGTTCAAGTTACACAGATTAGAGGTTTTCTTTTCTCCAGGTTCACTTAGATACACTATACTCGGAATACAGGTCTTGATCCTAGATTATTTTGTTAAACCAAATAGTTGCGCTGGTGTCAGGTTGGAATATACAGAGCTACCCACTTCAGAGACGACTATACGGATATTTACCGTGTTTTTTATTCCTGCTTTCATGCTATCAGTAGCTTGGTAGACTAGTCCAATTTCAACATTCTTTGTTAACAGGTCATGGGCTCATCCCTTCTGGATAACCCTGTATGACGTGTGTATAAACAGAGCTGAAAACTTTAGAATGGTGGATATTGAGATAAATGCTTGATCCTCTCATTTTCTTAATATCGAGACTAACCTAATCTTGTACTTGTATCCTGCAAAGTGTATAAAATTCAACCAATCAGAGTCTTGTATATGAGGCCGATAAATTTGAAATTTTGCGCGCCATTTAAGATTATATACATAAACGGGAGGGACTCTTTAAATTTAAAAAAAAAAAACTTGTTTTTGATTTTTTCGCTACTATATCCAAGAAAGAACGGTTTAAGAAGAAAATCAAAAGTTTGTCCATTGGATACTTAGATTAAGTTATCGGGATCAAGGATATCTTATTCTAAAGTTTTCAGCTCTGACCAGGCAATGCAATTTTAACTTGATTGAATCAGAGAATTTTAAAGTATGCATCTTTGATGGGCCTATACTTACGCTACACATAAAGTAGTATTTTCCTATTTATTTATTTTCCCCAAATATTAATTTCCCACGGATATTTTTCAAGTGGAAACTTCCCAAATGACTTTTCCCATTATGTAGTTTCCTGAATATACCAATCCTAGGTAGCAGTTTTACCAATATACAAATACAAAGCTGCAGTTTCCCCAATATACAAATACAAAGCTGCAGTTTCCCCAATATACAAATACAAAGCTGCAGTTTCCCCAATAAACAAATCCCAAATAGCAGTTTCTCAAATGTGCAACTTCTTTTGTTTCAACTTCCCAAATACACAATTTTCCAAGAAGCAATTTCTCAAATGAACAATTTACCAAGTGGCAAATTCCCAAGTGATCAATTTCCCTATTAAAGGGAGTGTTCGCGAAAAATTAAAGGGGGTATAGTCTTAAGGAGAAAAATAAGCGTTGCGTTGCGTCTGTAAGGAGAAAATTGTTAAAAACTACTCACACCGAAGAACGTAGCGTTCATACAAATTCAGAAAGTTGCAACATTCAAATCAGATCATAAAATAATCAATTTAATTCAAAATTAATCATTCAGATATTACAAACAATAGTCATTGATTATTTTTCGATGCATTCGTATGAAGTTAATGTTTCATATTATTTTTGATTTTGTTTTTTTAAGTAATATTTTGCTAGCGCTGGGTTTTCGAACATTCCTGGAAAATATGAAAATGTCGTTTTCATTATCAAAAATCCTCGAAACAGGAATGAAAGTTTTTAAAAGTAACTCTCAGATCATAAAAGATGAAGAAATTCTTCAAATCGGAATGTATTTTAGTTTAATTTCTAAACACCTTGCCAAGTTTTTTTAAAGAACTGAATTTCCATTCTGTAATACAAAATAATGTTTGGTTGACAACTTGATTTATACTAAAATTTAAACAAATTTAAACTCAAATAAAAGACAGTTAAATTTTGAAAGATTTTTTAAAAAAGAGTCCTTATTTTGGATTGTGTTTTGGTTTCTTCATTTTGAACCAAGAAATCCATGAGAAATATTTCAAATGTGGTTAAGTTATTGCTAAATTCCTACTGAGTAATAAATATTGTCATTGTTTATGCATAGCTTTATTCATAACTTTTTCAACATACTTTTTTCCTCTTTTTCTTCTTCTTTTTCTTCTTCTTATTCTTCTTCCTCTTCCTCTTCTTCTTCTTCTTCATCATATTCTTCTTCTTCTTCATCTTCTTCTTCTTCTTCCTCTTCTTCTTCCTGATCCTCATCTGAATCTTCTTCACTGAAAGTCTCATCAAGAAGACCTTTAAACTCCAATATTTTCTCTGCTTGTTCTATTCCTGACAACATTGCACCATGCATGTACGACCAATATTTCTCATGTGTATGTTCACCGGCCAAAAGGAGGCGTGGCACTTCTTCTGATGGTAGTGGGCGGGATAGTTCACGATAGTCTTTTGCTGTAGAGTAAATTGATGGATAGCTCCAGGTTCCAAGACTGAAGGGATCAGTAAGCCAGGTATGTCTGATAACCTTGGATATTTGAGTAATATTAGGATTTCCTGAAAATTGTTGCATAAGCTTGAACACTGCTTCAGCAATCTCTGATTCCTCCAGCTTATCTGCTACAAGAGCAGCTTCCCCAACCACCCAGATCATAAGTTTATCTGGGTTTCCTTCTACTTCATCCACCAAACTAATGAATTTAAACCAATCCTGGGGCATTACAGCAGCCTCCTGCTCTTCCTTAGTCCAAAGAAATATCATCTGTCCTTCTCCTTCTCTCCAGAAAGGATTGTCAAACTGCAGAAAGATCTTGCTGGCTCGTCCTGGTCGCATGTTATTAATTGCCTTCTTCTTCTTGGCATCTAAAGGTGGAGAGAACAGTTCTGGCTTACTCTGCAAAACTCCTAATGGAGCAGTAACTATAACATGATCAGCGGTGTAAACATTGGAGCTGGATCTAAGAGTCACTCCATCTTTATTCCAAGCTATCTCTTCAACTATAGTATTAAGTTCATACGGTTCTTCATCTAGATCCTCTTTAAGAGCATTTATAATAGTTTTCAACCCTCCAGGAACAATAACATCGCCACCGGGAATCTCATCATACTCAGCCACCAGTTTTAGACTAGTATTATCAAAGTTGTCGCCAATATCATAGGTCATCATGAATTCAAACCCCTCTAGGATATCAATCATCTCTTGTTTATTGTCTATGTCTAGTTTGTCCACTTCTGAATTTACTTTAGAAAAGTAGTATTCTCCAAGAGATTGATTTATATGTTCAGGATCATCATAATCACTCAGCTCATTAATAGTTTCAAAAATGTTCTCAGCAAATTTTAATTTGTCTCTATTAATCTTCTTTCCATTGGAAGTAAAACCATATCCTTGCAGAGTATCATCTTCCCAAGTGTCTCCATACGTCCTGATTTTATCTCCCAAAAGGCCATGGGACTTGGCGTACTGGAAAAGGGGATTCCGACGTTTACCCTGAAACTCAGTGATATTATTGTTAATACAATTAAGGTGATTTTAAGAATGGTATAGAATTGAATTTTGGATTTTTATGTTTCCTCCTCAAGAGTTTCTCCTTATATAATGCATTGAAATGTGCTTTATAAGAAAAGTTAAGTTTGTGAGATTTTTACGATTAAGAAATAACTGTTTTTCAAGTTGAATTATTTTTCTTGAGCTTACAATAACTAACCTGAATCCACTGAGCACCAAACTCAATAACATTATCATCACCTCCAGTAAACATTCTTCCTCCAAGTCTATCTCTAGCTTCGAGCACTAGAACCTGAATAAAAGAAAAGGTGTACAAGGAAAGGAGACAATTTTATTTTAGATTATACAAACAATATATTGAATAGGTAAATAAAGATAAAATTTCAGATAGTGAATCATAATCAGTATTATGAGAAATGGGAAGTTGAAAACTATTTAACAAGATGTAGCATTTAATTATTTGACACCATACTTAACAATATCTCATTGGTTAATAATGCAAACTTTTAACCAATAAGAGATCTGTAAAATGTCTGATGTCTGATGCCAGAAAAATTTAAAGTTAAATCCTAAAAATCGAATAAATAAACTTTAGCCTATTCAAATTAGTTCCGCCCATCACGTCCTAGTCCAAATATTGACATATAGGTTCAGTCCACCTAATTTAGTAGAATAAAACATACTGGGTCCACCCTGGGTACGAGCATACACTAGATATATCAATCCGTGTAGTCCAAGGGCGTATACAGAAATAAATGTAGGGGGGGCAATATTTGCGCGAAGCGCAAAAAATTTTTTTGCCCCCCCCCTAGGAGCTCCTAGGGGGGGGGCAAAATTCGAACTGTAAATTCATAACACTTGGCTTCTTGGATATCAGGCATAAGTATAAGATACTTAAAAGGCACACATACAGTCCAAATAATTACCTTCTAAGCATTGTTTCTAAAAAATCGACATTTTATTATACTTTTACAGGTATATTTAGTATTTGGAAGCGATTTTGACCTCGTTGTTACGACCATCTCTAAAATTTATTTTCATGTGTTCATGTAGCGCATTTTCTAGTTTTGACTCGGCTATTACCTTAAGACCAGCTTTCTCCAGTCTGCCAGCAGCTGCAAGACCAGATATCCCTCCTCCAACAATAAGAACATCAGCATCCTTCCCTCCCTCAACACTTCTACCAGAGGCTATTGTAAGAACATCAAATAGCATGAAAATGCAAAGAATAATCATTTTGATAACCATTCTGTGGGGTCAGTTCCAACCGACTGATTCCAGTTTTAACCGCAGAAGTTTTTATTTAAGGGAATAAAAAACATTTCATAAAAAATGAAAAATATTTGAATATCAAAATCGTCAAATTATATTTAAATTCAAATTTAAATGAATTTCTTTTCCAAAAACAATATTTTGTTAAATTTTTTTAAAACATCTATATAGAGGCCAAGCCCAGATTTGGTTGAATTGATAAGCAAACATTCATCTACGTCAGGGGTGTACGAGAACATTTGTTTGGGGGGGGAACACTATAATTTCTTTGTGCCCCCCCTTAAAAACCCCTTTTTTGAAAAAAATATTGATACCTTTTTTTAACTATGTAAACTTAAATTTATGTAATTTTCTAAAGGGGGGCGCACAATGTTGCCAATGGGGAGGCAATCCCTCTTAATATGTGGTGTAAGCTTCAAGGGATGAAAAATATAGATGGAAACGTTTCTAAAAAAATATCTATATTTTCATAGGCTTGATACATATTGTAAAATAAATTATGATATCAAAATACATATTTACTCTGAAGGCAGTATTGATTAAAGCTTTTTAATAAAACTTTTTTAGTTAAAGGCAAAAGTGAGATTCTAAAGTATTTTTTCTATACGATGTAATTATACTTAAATGGAATACATGCGTAATTTCAAGTGACTCTCCATTTATCCTCCATTTAAAGATGATGTACCTTTAAAACCTTCATTTCTCCATCGTTTCTGAAGCAAGAAATGCGCGAGTCACTTTTGTAGAGAAACCACAAATAAAATATTCAGTTTTCAAAATGGAAAACATGGATTTTTAATGCAATACTTAAATAGACAAAGCTTTGAAGGGTATTGTTGTGAATCATAATATATTTTGTTTCTTTTCTTTATCTCTTAGTTTGGGTGAGTGCATTGCAATGCAATGTAGAATGTAGATTGTATGAGGAAGATGTAATATTAAAAGACCCCCCCATGAATCCCCCCCCCCCCTCAGAGGAATGTAAGAAAACTTAATATTTCCCTGTAATAGATCTTTTCATGAATTTTTAAAGGAACTGCTGACTTAATCTTATATTTTACCCTCAGTTATTAACGTTGCACATCTGATTCACTAAAGAAACCTGAGCTGGGAACTTTTGAATGGTGGATATTGGAATTAAGACTTGATCCAATCTTTTTCTTAATCTCGAGATCAAATAATGCTTGTTCACCTCTTGTTATGAATCTCCAGATTAATTAACCGATCGGGATTAAGGATATCCCATTCTAAAGTTTTCAGCTCTGTAGCCCTTTCAAAAATAATGTAGTTACAACCTGAAAAGATGTAAATTTACAAAAATATCTGAATGATCTCTGCGACTAAAATTCGCGAGTAGCTTTACATGAAGAGAACCGAAATTGAAACTTACAGAATTTTATAAAGAAAAACGTGAACAACTCCATCATTTTGGATCGGGTCAAACATAAAATAGAATAAATTGTAAAAAACTTTTTTAATGGAGAGTGAAATTACGTAGATATTCCCTTCAAGCTGTTTAAATAAAATTTGCAACTTGGTTTTTAAAGTTTTTAAATTTTTGACCTTTTTTTCAACCGTGTCCATTCCTATGCAGGAACACAGCCTTTTATTCGACAGAAATGTGTATAACAAGTATAATAGTAAATATGTTATAGAACTGAAACTATCCAAATATCTAAACAATGGCGGATATTTCAACACAAACAACAACAAATCTACTGATAGTCCAGTAAGTCCAGAAATATTACAAGAACTGAACACTACCTTTGATATTTCACACTGTGAATCCAGATTAAGAATTTATTAAAAGCTTGAAATATCAAAGGTTTACGCAATAAAAATTTCAGTTTGCTGCTTTTTTGGTTTAAATGAATATTATAGCTTCTTAATCATCAAAAAGCAAAATTCTTAATTATTCTTTTGTCGATTTTTTTGGTGACCCTGTGTTCCTCTGCCTGACAAAACAAATTGAATTACAAGGTCAGACTTTAAATCCCTGTTCTCTGTCCGCCATTTTATTTTGTCAAAATTTTGCGCAATTTTTTTAGATTTGTTTACAGAGGGATTTATTACCTGTCTACTCAACATACTTTCAAGATTTTGTTGATAAAAATCAATTTAACTCCTTGAAGGGGCTGCAGTAGACGTCATTTCATCTGATTTCCATTTATAAATTGTTTCATTTCCAATTAACAAAGGAACATAAAAGATCTGGTCAAGAATATAATACATTTAGCTCGCCTGTTTCAAACTTTAAAACGCGGCTAAACCGATAAGGCCCAATTTTTTTGTGGTAACTCTCATAACTCCAGGGAAAGTTAATGTATGGTCAAAATTGAAAAATTTTGCACTAAAAAAAATGTCGACTGTTACGATATTTGAAACTTATCCAATTTAAACAAAAAACCGCCGAAAACTTTTGTATAACAGAACTATATAAACTATATACATATGTGGCGAAAGATAATCGATGACTAGAGGTTGTAATATCTAAATGATTTGTTTAAAATTAAATTGATTTTTTACGGTCTAAGTCATATGTTGCATTTTTCTCAATTGTATGGCCGCTAAGTTATTCGGTGTGAGAAGTCTTTAACAATTTTCTCCTTATAGACGCAACAGATAGAAGTAATATTAGTAGCGATCAAAAGCGCTTTTTTTATCGCATTAAGCCTATACCCCCTTTCATTTTTCGCGAACACTCCCTTTAAATAAAAAAATAATGACTTGAAAAGAAACATTTTAAACCAAAACTATACTAGAAACAGGGCTTTAAACTAATTGTTATTTGGAAAATAGAAACTCTCGGGGAGGGGGGGGGGGGGCTTTAATTTACATGTGTACAGTGTGTCCTTGAAAGAACATTTAACAAGCTAGAATATGGTCGCTTCTCTATATCTACAGAAATACAGGGTGTCCCAGGAAACATGACAGTTGGTAAATAGTTTAGAATGTCTTCTTCCATAATTTGTTGAGTTGTTTGGTACCAAAGACAATAATAAAAATATCATATAGGAGTCATATTATAGTAAAATTAGCTTCAAAGTGAAATATATTTGAGCAACAGATTTTTTAAACGAAATAAACTGTTAACAGCCTTAAATATGTAAAATAGTGTATGGAAAACGACATCCAAAACTATTGATCATTTGTCGTGTTTTCTGGGACACTCTGTCTACACTGTCGTCCCTTACCCATCCGAGTCTAGAGAATTGGACCAAAGTTTAGGGATAGTAAAAATAATGTCCCCCCAAAGGGCCTTCAGGGTTCAGACACTGAGATTCAAGGTTTTTAAATAAGATTGTCCCCTGATATGTTAGTACGTATGTAACTAAAAGACGGATTAGACTCTATTTAAAAGATAAGTAAATTGCGTTTTTGTCTAAAATTTAAAAAATTCTGAAGGAATTAAGTATAACCACAAACTCAGATTAGCTAATCCCTATACCTTTTCAACCAAATGGTGTAAACCTCTAATATTTCAAACTTGAATTATTTGATCTAACATAATTTATGGTTTGAAATATCTCAGGTTTGCAACTTAGGGCTGAAAAGAAATAGGAATTGGAAATTCAGAGTTTGTGGCAAATCCTCAATTCCTTTACAGAGTTGTCTTTATACTGCAGTGGTTTGGTGATAATATTAAAGGGACAGACCGGCTATGTAAGGTAGTTAGAAAGTCGTCGTCACTTTTTTTCATGTAAAAGCATACCCCGACAAAAATGTGTGCAAAAAAAAGCTTATAAATTTACGTTTAGGTCAGATTTGAATGGAAAATCTCAGCTTGGAACGTGATTGTTAAATCAACTTGACGATACCAACAACATAAAAATTGTTGTTATTTATGAACAGGAAATTTTTGTTCTTTATCTCTAAATTAGGATGCTCAAGGAGCCCACGTATCTTGTTCTTCAGGGTTAACCACAAAGGATGAGACTGAAAAGACAACCGGAAACTCTTAAAATATAACAATTTCAAGGTTAATTTAAGTATGTTGCCTTGAATATTGTCTGTTAATGGCTTATTTACTGATTTGGCAAGGAAAGTGTGTCTTGGAAAAATCTGTAAAAAAAGGGTCGTAAATGAGATTTTTTCATGATTTTAATTCTTAAAAAAATACAGTCCAGTGCTACGAGAAAGACAGTCTAATACTATTATTCATAAGACTAGGTATTATGATGCTTCAAAAGAAGCAGCATAATGTTTTTTAAAAGATTTGGATCTTGAAAAAAAATTCTGATACAGGGCGTCGCATATTATATTGGATTATCTCCAAGCTTAAAACGCCAAACACGCACATAATATTCGAAAAACCTAAAATTTACTTCATGCTATTTTTTTATGTTAGCGTTATACCAATTTTTGAATGATTCTTTCTTTTTAAAGTTTCTGATTAAAATCGGAATTTTAACCGATCTTATAAGATGCGTGACATTTTGTATTTTGGGCTTTCCTTTGTCACTCTTGTATGCCGAGTCCATTAGCGCCTGATCTAATCAGGGTTCAGTCATGTGTTTGTTGTCTATTCTGAACCAATAGAAATAGTATGGCGGTAACATCTATCTTTCTATCTATCTCATTATGAAATCAGAGTTATGAATCCTTATATCGGCGCTAACAGTAAATGGAAAAATTGACTTCTACTGAAACTATGGTGCTGTGTCTGTCCATCGCTCAAAAATAAGACAATTTAAGGCCGTAAAAAGAAAATGGTCCAGAGCCCCTAAAAGAAGAAATTCCAGGGCTCTTAAAGAAAACGGTCCAGGGTCCAAAAAATAAGACAGTCCACGGCAATAAAAAGAAGACATTCCAGGGCCCTAAAAGAAGACGGTCCAGGGCTCTACTAAAAGAAGACGGTCCAGGGCCCTGAGTCCATACTTAAATAAAAAAAACACGGTCATTATCTTGTCATTTTGCATTTACTTGAAATCGTGTTGACTAAAAAGAAGATCGCTAATTTATGTCAATTAAACGATTCATGAATATATAG